ACCGTGAGCGCGCGGTACTGCTGGCTGCCGCGGCTGGTGAGCGGCGCGAAGCCCGGCATGAAGAAGTGCAGGCGCGGGAAGGGCACCATGTTCACGGCCAGCTTGCGCAGGTCGGCGTTCAGCTGGCCCGGGAAGCGCAGGGAGGTGGTGACGCCGCTCATGGTGGCCGACACCAGGTGGTTGAGGTCCCCGTACGTGGGGGTGGTCAGCTTCAGGGTGCGGAAGCAGATGTCGTACAGGGCCTCGTTGTCGATGCAGTAGGTCTCGTCCGTGTTCTCCACCAGCTGGTGCACGGACAGGGTGGCGTTGTAGGGCTCCACCACCGTGTCCGACACCTTGGGCGAGGGCATGACGCTGAAGGTGTTCATGATGCGGTCTGGGTACTCCTCGCGGATCTTGCTGATGAGCAGGGTGCCCATCCCGGACCCCGTGCCGCCCCCCAGCGAGTGGGTCAGCTGGAAGCCCTGGAGACAGTCACAGCTCTCCGACTCCTTCCTCACCACGTCCAGGACCGAGTCGACCAGCTCGGCTCCCTCTGTGTAGTGGCCCTTTGCCCAGTTGTTTCCGGCTCCGCTCTGGCCTGCCGGAGGGAAAGAGAAGTCTTAAGTCACTGGTGATTGTATTAAATTCCTCACCTCAAACCCCTTTATACAGATCAATGTGTCAGTGCTCAGATAAGATTATTTCAGGTTATCGCCAAAATGGCCAGACGTTAAAATATCTGGTCATGGATGTAATTATAAATACGAACGGCTAGGACACCTGGCTATTAGGAGTTGAAAGGCAAACATATGTGTAGCCTTTATTAAGGCTAAGCTGCACACAACCGGATGTTCTGCTCTCGCTTGTGTGTCCTGCTTCTCCACCCTGAGCTGCCCAGTGTAAAATAAGCCACAAGCTGTCAGCCATGCCAGGCACTCACCAAACACAAAATTGTCTGGCCTGAAGATCTGGCCGAATGGTCCAGACCTGACCGAGTCCATCGTGCCCGGCTCCAGATCCACCAGGATGGCCCGAGGAACGTATTTGTTACCTGCGGGGGAACAAGAGCTGGCTGAGACTGCAGGCAGACAGCTCTGCAGGGACGCGCTTCCTTCTTGCAGGCACTGATGTTGCCCCAAACAAAGGAGGTCCCACCACCAGGTCCTCCAAGGGCTCTGTTGGCACAGGGGAGCCCACTGAAATACTGCATTCCACAGTCCACTCTCCCCTGGGGCCGCACCCCTGGGTCAGTCCCAGGGGAAGGGGGGGCAGTAAAAAACTGAAGGGAGCGGGGCGGGGTAACGGCAATTACCAGTGGCTTCGTTGTAGTATACATTGATTCTCTCCAGCTGCAAATCACTATCTCCATGGTAACTGCCAGTGGGGTCGATACCATGTTCATCACTGATGACCTCCCAAAACTGAGACAGAGAAAGGCTGCATTTAGCCATGCACGACCCCCCAGAAACGCCGCGCATCACAAAGGAAACCCGCGACTCAGTTCGGACAACCCAGCATTTCAGGAGCTTTAAAGGGCGGCATGCTCGGGCAAGGCCCGCAGGGCTTGTATTTTGCAGGGTCAGAAAGTTAAAACTGGGCGTTTCCCGGGCGAACAGCTGCTCACGGCGGGAGGCAGGGGTCGTGCGGGGCGTGATCCAGCCACAGCCGGGCGGTGGCGGGGCGCAGCGCACCAGGTCACGGCCCCGGGCGGCGGCGGGAGGCGAGGGCGCAGGGACTCCAGCCCGCGAGGGGTGGGGGAGGGACGCTAGGGAGCTAAAGGACCGTGGTTTTAGAGTCAAAGCACGTCCTGCGACCGCGAGACAATGGCTCTCCTCCCCTCCCCCCGCAGGGCGACTCGGGTTCAAGCGAGTAAATTCAATTCTCATGTCTCGACTCCTCGAGCAGACAGGCGCGCGAAGCCGCGCAGACACACCCTCGTCTTCTCCAGGCACGCGTGCCGGCCCAGGCGGCGAGCGGGGAGGAAGGCCGAGGGGTGGTGGCCCGGACTCCAAACGAATTACAGCAAAAACGAAAGCGCGGTCTCCCCACCCCGCACTGAAAGTCCCCTCCGAGCCCACGCCCCACTAGGCGGCACAAAGCGGCCGGGAAGGTCTGCATTCGGCAGCCCCGGGACCACACCCACGCCCCGGGACCGCTAGGGGCGCTCGGCCCAGCTCCGGTCCCCGTTCTACCCCCGCCCGGCACGCGCCCACCTTGGCGCCGATCTGGTTGCCGCACTGGCCCGCCTGGATGTGCACGATCTCGCGCATGGTGCCTCGTTGGCTTCTTCTCCCTGGTCCGGTGGCGTCTGGCGGGTCTGTCCGTCCTCCCCTCACACACCCACTGCGGGGTCACCGCGAAGGCGCTGCGGAACGGACCGGCTGAGAGCGCTCGCCCCGCGGGCTCGGCCTTTTATGCGGGGAGGGTGGGGCGGCCGGCGCAGACCGCGCCCCCAGCCCGAGCCCCCCCAGTCCCTTCGCGCTGGCGCTCTCCAGGCCCGGCTGACGTAATGCTCAGAGCCCCAGGGACCGTGCAGGGGGCTGGACCACCGGCCCGCAGCCAATCAGCGCGGGCCTGCGGACTGGGAGAAGGGTAGGGGCTGCGGGAGAAGAATGGGGGCGTGCGCATTGTGTAGAGCTGGCGTGGGGGAGGGACGAGGCAGGGGCTAACTGGGTGCGGGGCAATGGGGGAGGGGGTGGACGGGGAGGGCGGTGAGGCGGGGGCAACCAGCGCGGCAGGCCCAGGACGGCGGAGAGCTGGCGCTGCAGGAGGAGGTGGGAGGACTGGGGCAGGTGGAACAGCCTTCAGGTGCTCCGGGTGCCGGCAGGTGGGAGGGTGGAGACGGCGCAGTCCGCTTTGCCGGCTTGGACTGCGGCTCCCACTCGGCCACCTGCCAGAGTGGCCCAAGCCGACCCCCCCTGGCGAGACCACCGTCTCTTTCCCCAACTCCGGAGGCCAACGGCTGCCCAGGCGCCGACGGCCGGTCACACAGAGCCTTGGAGGAGGACAGGTGGGCACGGAAGTCGTGTGTGATCGCGACCCGGGACACCTGCCGCCCAAGAGCACCAGGATGCCCCGCGCCCCGCCGCCAGCTTCGGCCTGTTCTCTCCTTTGTCTCCGTCTAGGGCCGCTTTCTCCCTCCCCCTGCGGCCACGCATCCAGGGGTGGAGCGGCCTCTGAGCCCCCTCCGGCCCTGCCCAACCCTCTCCTAGAGTCCACAGCGCCCCGGCTGGTACCAAGGACCCCTCCATTCTGAGGGTTGACTTTGCGGAACGAAAGTCACTCGCGGGACGCAGTGGGTGTGGCTGGCCGCGCAGCGTGGACGATACTGGGGGCAGAAAGAAGGTGGGGTCCAAGGGGCGGGGCTGACGGCGGAACAAAGGGCTCCCAAAAGCTTGGGGTTTGTTCCGCAACTGAGTATTGAAAATCACACGCCAGGCGCTGCGCCTCTCAGCGCTCAGTTCATCTGTTGTCAAGTCAGAGGGTGGGTTCCCCGCCCGCCCCGCGGCGAACATTCTCGTATTCCTTCGCGGAGGCCACGAGGTCCTAGCCTTTCCGCCGCAGGTGGGGGGTGCGGGACACGCCTAAAAGCTGCCGCACCGTGCGCGAAACCAACAAGACCCGTGAGAGCGCGTGCGCGCGCTTGGAACGCCGACCCCCTTCGAAGCCGCAGTCTCTAGGTGGTCGCGGAAGGGGCCGATCTCTTTGTTACTTTTCGTGTGTGTGTGTGTGTGTGTGTGTGTGTGTGTGTGAGACGGAGGGAGGGGAAAGGGTGGCAGAAACGTTCACTGCGCAACCTGTTCCCTGCAATTCGATAGTTGAAGCAGCTGCCCCTATCCGGGACGGGTGGTTGGCGAGGTGAAGTGACCCCTTTCATCTCCTGGCGAGAGGGGCGCCTGCAGCTGCTGGGTGAGACCCTCCCAGAACTATCAGCAAGCTGTCATCGCCTCCCTGTCCCGCTGCGGGGTGGGAGGGAGTTTCAACTCAATTGCAGCGTACAAAGAAAAGGAACAAGAACAAAAGCCCAGCCGCCCACACACAGCCAGGGCGCCCAGACTGGAGCTCGCCCGCCAGAGTTGCCCAGGCGCGGCTGCGGGTGCCCGGGTTAGGGTGGGGTCGAGCGACAGGCAGAGCAGCGGAGGGTCTGTCCACATGCCCCAGCCGCGGGGTGGGCCTGAGCCCCGAGTTTCGAATCCAGATACTACAGATTCGGAAACGCCAAGGGCGAAGAATTCTCAAGGTCACACAGCAAGTTAAAAGACAGGGCTGGGACTGGAATCCGGTCTTCCGGGCGCCCCAGCCCTCGGGGAAGGTGACCGCGGCCCAGCGAAAGGGCTGTGGCAAGTGTCAGCCTGCAGGTGGCGGCTCCGGTGGGACCGAGCAGCGCCTGAAGGAACTGAGCGAGGGCGACACCCGCGCTGCGAGTGTAGACGCACTCCGAGCGATCAGCGTCTTGCTGCAAGTGCCAAGAAGCAACCTCGACGCGCGGCGCTCCCGGGGCTCAGCTCCTGGTTGGGAAATGTGAGCCTGCCACCCGCCTCCCTCACCTAACGGTTTCCCTTCTCAGCTTCTGTTTCAGAGCCAGATCTCCGCGGAGTGCCGGGGTGAAAACGCGTGTTCAAGATCCTATAGACGAAAGAACCCTTTCCTCTCGAGTTTCTTTTAGGGGAGGAGCTGTGGGACAGGATGAGGCTGGAAATTATCCTTCTAAGAGCCCGATACCCTTGGGGACCCAGCACTTTGGGCCCAAGACCTTCCTTCCTTTCATGCGTTTTGTTCGAATGGTCCCACTCTCCCCCGCCCGTTCTGAGTAAGCATGCTTGTTACCGTTCTGCACCCCACCCCCACCACAATTGGAATTACGATGCTGCACGTTTTTATTTTCACAAGCAGTTGATTTTGTGTTGAAGTGTTGATGACAGCCATGCTTTTCAGTTTATCTGATAACCCTTTAAAAACAATCCTACCCCACGTAGCTCCCAAGAAGAGGCTGGTACCCTACTTTCAAAGAAAAAAAAATCGTTTTCAGTTGGGTCCCAGCATTTCTTTTTGTCTGTTTATTATACACAGTTCCTTTCAATCTAGGTCATTGTATATCAGACACGAAGATCTCAGGACAACATATTTCATGAACTCTTTCATACCGTTGGTTCTTAATGATGTACTAACATTTGAAAATTTTCCAGAGATAGATCTAGAAATATCCCTAGGTAAAGTAAAATGCGACATGTGTTTTTTGCATAACTGATTGTGGGGCAGAGGTAAGCAAGACATCCCCTAAACTATTAAAATTATATTTGCTCTCACAATGCTCAAATTATTTTCCTTGGCAAATCCTCAGGTGATTTTTGCATATATCTATGACACACGCAGAGTCATTGTTTTAAGTAATTGAAGAAGTCTGATGGTGGGGCGCTTTACCTAGATGGACTGGCAGTAAATTTTAAAAGCATTGTTTTATTAATGTAAAATATATTTTAACATATTTATTGAAATTACTGGACATTTAGCTTTAAGGTTTTCCCCCACTGCTAGCCTGCATTCACCGCTTAAAACCCAGCCGGCAGCCCCCATAGCCTGACAACCAACTCTGCAGCCGGGATGCACGCGGTTTCCTTGGCAACCTACACTTGGCCAATGAATGAAGGGGAATGAAAGAAAGCCTGCAAATACATGATTATTTCCTTTTTTTTCTTTCTCCTCTTTTCAGTGCTCTCCAGTTAGAAATATTGGAAGACTACCAATTCTAACATTTATGTAAAGGAGCCAAATGCCCAGAGAATTGGGGCTAGGAAGGGGTCGCAGCTCCGTATTCGAAGCGTGGGGAGGGGGCGGTGGAGGGGTCCTGGGACCCACCAAGGTCTGTGCTTTCTCAGCTTTGTCGCCCCCCCCCCCCGCTTACGTGCCGCTGCCCTCCGCCTTTCCTCGCAGGCCTTCCCTCCTCCGCACGGGACGCAGCAGAGCGGGGCAGAGGGCTCAGTGCTGTCTAATCGAGGGGGCTGCCTGGGTGGAGCCCTCGGAGCCCCAGTCCTTCGCAGCCGTGGGGCTCTGTAGGGACGAGCCAGCCCACGTGACAAAAGACTGGAATGAGCAGAGACCATTCCGAGTCCGCAAGTGCAGCGCAGGGGGAACACCTGCTCTTTGTGTCTCAGTGAGGCTGGGTGTCTTCCCGCTGCCGGAGGTCGTGAATTTGGGTGAGAATGACCTCAGTTCAGACTGAGAGTGCTGAGCTTTCACGCAAGAGATTTGCTTTCTTTGTCATGCAAATTGGCAGAGAGAGTAGAAGCCTGGCTTTCCAGGGCACCATTTCGCTTTCACACGCAGCCTCCCCTCCCCCGCACTGTCAATGGTGTGTAAGGTTCTTAGACCGGCTGGGGGAGGGCGCGCGCAGGGCGTGCACACTCTGTGGATGAAAGGCGTTTCGCGGTGCCGAGCCGCACTGGGTAGAAAACCAGTGGAGGAGAAGAAGTACTCTTAAATGGGAGAATTACAGAAGACTAAGACTGACAGCGTGCCCCTTGCAAGGTGCCGCCTGCGAAATCCACAAATTTACAAATAATCCCTTATGAAATGAACGCGTGCGCGCAGGAAGGTAAGAGGAGGGAGACATTTTAAGCTCAGCAGCAGACTGCCCTAATATCAATGTGATTGTAGGGCTGTCGCTCTGCCTTAGAAACCATTCACGTCTCTGCAGTCACCATTTCTTTTCAAAATCTGCGCTAGACCTTCCTTTGGCGTTTAAGTAAAATTAAAATGTGTATTCAGATGGATACAAACGCATAAACACAGCAACACACTTAACTCCAGATGGCTGGTGGGCAATCACCACCGCCTCACTGCACACAGTTTAGCTTCCCAAAAGGAACTCTTTTGGCTGGACATGACCAGCCTACTTTTAAGTGGCCACCAATAGTCACAGTACATTTTCAAGAAAATAAAGTATTAAGAGAACTTCTGGGAGAACTCACTGCCTCTTTCAAAATAACCCACAGAAAAGGAAACTTAACAAAAGGTTTACTCTTGCACACACCAAAAAGAATCGAAAGCAGTGTCTCCAAGAGACGTATATACATCTGTGTCCACAGCATCATGATTCACAGTAGCCAAAAGGTGGAAGCAACAAGTGCCCACCGATGGATGGACGGACAAACAAAATGTAGAGGCCAGGCGCGGTGGCTCGTGCCTGTAATCCTAGCACTTTGGGAGGCTGAGGTGGGAGGATTGTTTGAGCTCAGGGTTCTAGACCAGCCTGAGCAAGAGCGAGACCCCATCTCTACTAAAAATAGAAAAAATTAGCCAGGCATGGTGGTGTGCCTATAGTCCCAGCTACTGAAGCTGAGGCAGGAGGACCCAGGCTGAGGCAGGAGGATCCCTTGAGGCCAGGAGTTTGAGGTTGCTGTGAGCTAGGCTGCACTCTAATCTGGCAACAGAGTGAGACTCTATCTCAAAAAAATGTGGTATAGCCAT